AGTCTATATGTGACCTCATAAGTACGTGTTCTGATTTATATCCTATTGTTAAATACGTTCTTTTTTGTTAAAAGACTTAGTTTATACACTGCTGATAAAAATCAAAGATCAACGTTTGTAACATCATTGTATCAGGTACTGAGTGTGACCGTGACCGCAATAAAATATGTGAAAATATACATCGAGTATATTCGAAGGTCTGTCAATAAAACGAGGATACCCAGCTATTCTCAATAACGGCTTGAAATCAATTAATATTATGTGTTATTAGTTTTCAATGATTGGCAATCTTTGTTTGCTATCAACAGCAACTACTTACTTACTTCCAAATAAAACGATTTAACCATATACTCTTATTAAAGCAGAAACAAACTTTAACCACTATGTAGCTCTGTAAGTAGGTTTGTTTACACAGAGCTATTGGCTATAAAAATGTTTTAAATCAAAAAAGTTTAAAAAATCATTTTTTAGTCTTCCCCTTGCTGACATTGCATTTTATTACTGCCTACTTCTTGTACCCTTTTTACCTTAATGGTATTGCTTTTCGATACCTGTTCTAATCGACAAAGAAGAAACTTTGACTGATGTTTTGTTTCTTTTAATATAAACATTGTTCCTTTTCCACCCAACAGATGTCAATCCAGTTATACTTTCAAATTTTTTTCGCAACTGATAGATATTTAACATTTTTCATATTCAAGATGTGAATTTTAAATTGCTTTATATGCAAAATATCATTATAGTTCCCGGACTTTACCAGCCACTTTCTCGTTTAATATCTCGAATGATAGCAATTTATTCTGATTTTTATAATATAATGAATGCATTTAGAAACCACAATTATTTTATTATTAGAAGGCCAACAATAATTAAGCAATTAATGGCGCAATAATCAGTTATGAAACACCGGGATATGGGAAAGAAGAACCATTTGATAAGTTCATGAACACACAGCCACATAACCTCTTTGTTATTTAGATTTGCGGTTTTAAGCTAATATAGGACTTGCTAAACCCTGACTAGAAACCTCGTTATAGAATATCGATTAAAATTTGCATGCATTTGTAGAAACTACGAATGCTGCTAGTAGTCGTCGTTTACAGGTCCGATCTTGATACGATAAAATACTATAGCTGAGTTATTCCAGCAAACCTAAAATATCTTGATTAAGTATGTACTTATTTTAAGATTGTTAAACAAAATGCACTGTTTACCATAATAAAAAAACATGAGGTAGGTACTTGAAATATTTGTGTTTGGTTCAAATATTCAACTTTTTTTCCATGACCTGAACTGCCTATTAAACAACATTTTGGAATTACCGTCTACCATTTTAATTCATTTTCGATACCGTGTAAATAATTAATTTATTGCATCAGAAAAACCATTGCAGGTATTCTGCATATTCGTTACTATTAAATATCAAGTGAAGCTGATTAATTTAACCCCAATGCCTATCTATGTTCCCTCTTATATTACCTACATCCATTATTTCGCAGAAAACTTGAATAAGACCAACTATTGGTAGAAAATGTTCTTTAATAACCACTACATAAGAATATACCACGTATTTAAAGTGATTCAGGTTTAAACTCGACAACAGGTTAGAATAATGACTTTTCACCTTCAGGGTGTTGGAATACCGAACATCTTTTTTGCTTTTCCCTCATACATTTTAAACCACTTGTCCGATTGAACTAAAATTTGAAAAGCAAATACTCCTAGTGATCTTACTATAACAATGATCTTAGTATGATTATTAAGTCATCCAGCTTTGCTACAAGTAAATGTTATGTGCCTTTTTGTGTTTCCATGTTACAAAATTTGAATTAAAAAAAAAATTATTTCAATAATTTGCACACACTGTATTTTGTGATAATTTTGCACAATTTTTTTTGTGTATTTGCACACATTGTGTTGTGTATTTTGAGATAGTTAATAAAATATTAGACGATTTGTGTAAGCTGCCGTTTGTGCAGAATTCGTATCGACGTTCAATATTTACGAGAAAAAATCATACTTATACATCTATCTCTGAAGCGATGAGATTTAAGAAAAAAAATATGTAGAGACTATAAAATCATGTAGGGGCATTATTCTAACATCATCTCGATGCCTGGAGTTATCAAGGTTAAACTTGAAACACTCTGTAGGTATACATACATAAAACATTATGAGCGGTTTGGTTTCCCTGTGCTCAAGGTTTGTTTACTTATGGTAAGTTTAATAAAACTGTTCACCACGCATTAACTATTATGAACGCGGCGGATTTTAACCATATTTATGCAAATACTTCACTAGATAGATTAACTTGAGGTTAAATGTAATGATGCTTATAAATCCGATCACAAAATAAATAATAATTAATTCCTGGTGACACATCGTATTTAAACAATTTAGTAGTTTTATTTGACCAAAATAAATGGCAGGCCGAATGCGAAGGATCAGGGCTATATGGTGGATGCGACAAATCTTCCAAACTGGCCCCAATCATTCGGGTGTATTTTTTTAAATCAATTTTGACACCACCTATCTCTAAATCTTTATCCCCATATAAGGAACATAATTCTTGGGTGCTTGTAATGTGCTTTTTGCTTTTCCGAAATTTTGTGTATAGGTACATACGTATAAGAATAATGTTATAATAAAATATGTTTAAAATTCGGTCTTGTTCTTCTGTTGTTAATATTTAATAAATTCGTTTTTCATTATTTTTCGGAATAACTAAATAACTTATAAATTCAATTTTTTTCCCATACATACTTACATATGCCTAGATTTGTTCTGAACAAAGACATTTTTTCTGAACTATGTTTTAAACATTTTAATAGCAATAAATTAAAGTAGCCTGAAATTAAACAAAAAACTATCCAAACAGAACTTAACGGAATTTATAACTACAAATATGAATTTCAAATGAAATAAATAAATAAAAACAAAATCATTTAAATCACTGATTTTGTATATGACCTCCGTTTAACGCTAGACATGCTCTATAATCTACTTGAATTTTATCTATAATGTTTTGAATTTATTGGAAATGATTAATATTTTAAGGCGTCTAACTCGAGTCTCATACACAATATTATTTAAATAACCCCAGACAAAAGAATCAAGAGGCATTATGTCGGGGCTATTTGGAGGTCATTGGATAGAACCCAATCCAGATATCAACAAAAAATAGTGTTACTGGGCGAACGTTAGGGGTGGAGGGAGCGCCGTGTCGAATTTCAATGCTACTTTGATTTGTTGGTATTTATAATTTTTAAAACATAATATAGGAAAAACGGCTAATACAAATCTAGGCAATATGTATATATATTTCTGAAAACAGGAAAAAAATCCAATCAACCTGACTAAAAATATATAGGGTGTTTCATTAAAAGACTTTATGTCAATTTTAAATTTTTATTTTAAAACAATCTAGGGGCTGTCAGCTTATGAGAAAACACCCTGTACTCAAGACACTATCTCGGATCTAAACGAAATTCATTTGATTACTTATTTGTATTAATAACGAATTGATTTTAAGAGATTAACGATTTTTGAAACCAGGAAAAAATTGGGGTTTTCAATGGACGTTCAGTATTGAGTGTGCTATTAGAAGAATCTCCATTGAGTTTGTAAATACGGCATTAGAAACTTGGCATTTTTAACATACTTAGAAATTGGCCTAAAAATTCGATAATCTGTCATTTGAAAGATCGCATCAACAAATGCCTCCTTTTAAAAGTAGAACATACTAAAATGACGGCACTGTATTTACGCGCACTACCGGACAAAGTTGGCTTTGTCCGACCGAATTCATTTTCTTTTATCAGTCTTCACCGAATACATTAATCTGAGGTCCGCACAGCTGATTTGCAACCGCTCGCTCGTGATTGGTGACCAGGTGAACTTTCACGTAGGTATTCTACGGACTTCGACTATTGGTGGCGAAATCTCGAAGCTTTTAAACAAGATTAATTGTAATGGGAATCAAAAACATTTTGCGCGCTGAACTAATATATGTTGATGAAGTAGAAAACAATAAATAATAATTTTCATAACATATCAGTTTTATGTTTAATAGGTAGGTAAGATCATTCTGTGTTCCGAGTTGAAGCAAAACGTTAAATTTACCTGCTCATTTCACATCTTAAAGTGCTTTACTTAAAATACTTAAAAACCACTTGTATTTGTTCTATTCACCCGATTATCATCATTTTATATTAATCAACACATCAACATAACACCATTTACGGTGGTGGATTTATAAAAAATTAAATTTTCGTCTGAAACATTTAGTCTTAGCTTTGTGAACAATTGTGCTGTATATTATAGTGAGAATTAATAAAGCTGAAATATAATTTAAACACATACACAGCACAGTATTGGTAAATTTAAGACTAAAATAGAATTCTGTATAAAACCACCTTTAAATAACAGAATTAGGTCAAATGTATTTCATGAGTATGGATGTAATCAAATGCAACATTGACTATCATGTGACTGTGAGTTGGTCACATAAATATACATATTACATACACAATAATATAATGGACTTAGATCAGACACCTTTTGAATATTTAATGGGAATTTAGCCGTTCAAATCGAATTAGCATAAGAAGTTCTTTGTTGTTTCAATTTCATAATGCATTTATTATCAAATTGCATTGTTCCTAATGTTACTTACTTGCATTGTAGCATTATGTTATTGAGCAAAATCGGGTTTAGAACCAATTCAGAGTTGCATTATTAAGTAAATAATATATAGGTACATGGATTATTTATATCATTAGAGGTTTAGTCGTGCAGAAGATACCTATATAGAAAAAAAAAGATAAATGCAAATTTTCTACTACAACTATTAATAACCTACATGACCATAGCCTAGTTATTTTTAGCGCGGTTGTAGCTACTAGGTAAATGATAACTGGTATTCCAGTCATAAACTCATTAGCTTAAAAAAAATTCAAGTGCTTGGGATGTAAAAACTCTTAAAATCCAATGAATTTTACCTTATTTTCCGTTAATCCCAAATCTGCATAAGATGTAAAGCGAGACGGTTTTGTCTCTGCAGGCGCATTGCTCGGAGCCAGGCTGTAGTACCGCATCGGAAATCAAATATTCCTCAGCTGTAATCACTGGTGTTTGGAAAGTATGTATTTACTTGCAGAAAGGACACTTCTGTATACAAATGCATTAAACTCCACAAATGGACGGCCCTTGACTGGCAATGATCTAATAAAACTCTTAATAGAAACACTGCACATTAACCCACATCAGCAACCCACTAATTGCAGCAATTGCGCCTTTATTAAAAGCTCGATGATAAAGGAACGTTCACCCGAAAGCACGCTACAACATGGCACGTACGGTAAGCTAAATACGTCTGTTATGAAGAATTTCGAGCTTGGTCATGGCTTGGTCTCACCAACAGTCTGAACGGTTACCGTGCCCCTCTCTCTTCTTACCACTAGATTCCCAAACCCGTCACGCAACGACCCAAGTTACATGGAGTTTAAATGGCATTAGCAGGGAAAGATGACCGGTGCATAAAACTTACGGTATTCGTTGAGCTATTGTATTTAGGAATTGGGTTGGTCCTCGGTCACCTCCCTCTAGATAACGCATAGTTTACTTGGAATGTATTGCATCGAGAAGAATGTCGATTTTTTTTACAAATCGACATATTAGAGAGAAAACTCGTTTTAACAATTAACTAGTTAAATCCCTTATTCCATACCAACACTTCATTTGAATCAAATACTGTATTCCCTAAATTAAAAAAGATACATTCTAGAGGGTTGTCAATATTGAATCAACAACCCTGTGCAATTTGCACATTAAGTGGGATTATAACAATTACAACAATTTTTACTATTATCAAACACTTATTTGAAATTCCACTAGAAAAGTATTTTATTTTAAAATGCTTTAAAAATGCAAAAATTGACCCAACAAAAATTTGCTTTAATGTAATTGAGCAATCATATGACATTTAATCAGATCATCTTAGAATTTAAAATGAAATAAGCAAAATGCTACTTGAAAACTCACGAAATATGAATGTTTGATGTATTTATATTTATTTATTATTAACCAATGCGAAAACAGGCTGGTATACTTTAAAACTCGAGTTTTGATCAAAACTGAAGCTAAAGACGCAATCCTCTAAATATAGGTAATATTTGATGATTTTTTTTATGGAATATTCTATACATATTTGATTGCGGTATTAAATTCTTAAGTCAAAATAAAAAGGCAAAAATTTCTATAAGGTGAAGTGAATCACTTCAGTAGTTACTCACGCTAAAAAAATGATGGCAGTACCACAGCTTATATATCATGCTTATATACAGGGTGAGTTTTCTAAAGTGTTACAAGGCTTCTTCTTCTTCTTTGGGGTTTTTTTTGGCACAACCAACTAGGGGTATTTTGCCAGCTCGTCACGTAAGAGGTCCAGTAAGCGGGCTTGTGCCCCTGATCCTCTAAAGTCTTACTCACTAACAGTAATATTATAGTGTTTTTTTTTTTTTTTGGTTTATGTTTGCTTGGTGTATCTTTTCAGTCTTCTTGTTTCTTTTTGCTTGCTATGGGTGTTATATCTGGCCCAAGATGAACAACACAGCTACACACATATAGGACACATCAGTCATTTTCACACATTTACAGGGAGAACAGGTGGATTGGTGCTAAAACGAAAAACTATAGGAGTCTTGTACTCTACAATCTTATGTTATTGCTTGTTAGGAAGCTATTGATTAGTTCAATTACTGATATTTTGAGAACTGATGTTACAAGGCTATACCTCAGAAACAGATCGCAATATATTTATACAAACTTTGGAAAGTAATAGGTAGGTAGGGGGACATGTTTTAACATATTTTTGACTATTCTACTCAAGCGCCCTCTTTGAGAGGCAAAGGCAACTTTGCAATTTTTAATAGAATGATATATTTTTGATTCTGAAATTTGATTCTACATGAAAAACTACGTATGTGTACAAACATTTTGCATGGTTTACTCATCTTGTTAAACAATTATCGATAATTTAAATTTTATTGAATTTCAATACAACTAAATATGTTTAAGTTAGTAGTTTTTTCAAATTGTCAAAAATTTCAAAATTCTTTAACAAATAGATTAGTATAGTGATTGGAAGTTGAAGGCAGGCATTTTGAACATCTCCTGAAACATATTTGATTACTATTAGTCGGGCCATAACTTAATAAATTAATTTTTTTTTATTTATATTGCACGTCATAAAATTCTGGAACTAAGTGATCAAATGACATAACAATCTCTACACATACATAGTTTCTTATGGTGATCTTCAATTTCACAATAACAAATATATCATTCCTATTAAAATTTTAATGTTGCCCTTACCTCTCACAGAGGGCGGTTGAGTAGAATAATAAAACATATGTTAAAATACGTCCCCGTACCTATTTCTTATTTTCCCAAAATTTTATAAATATTGTAACGGAAATGGCCTGGGGTACCTACTCACGTTTGGAATGGAGGGATCGAAATTCATGGAATTTCAGTAAATGGGAGTCCCATTTGCGCCCCATTTACTGTCAAAATATGACACTGACAAGCGGGCAATTTCGCACCTGGACTGGAGAAGAGGCTAAACCCCGCGAGTCTGAAGAGCGAGTTTTCCGTTTGTTATTGTTATTGTTTGTGAAGTTGACGTTCATTTTGAAGTTAGTTTGTTCCTGTTCCGTATTTACAGTTATACCGAGTTGAATAAAAGTTGGAATTTGAAGAAAGAGTTTGATACCCGGTAATCCACAGTACAATATATTTGAAACCGTTTCTAAGATATAGCCTTGTAACACTTTAAAAAACTCACCCTGTATGATATTTAAGCTTTGGCAGTACTACCAGGATGCTTTTACGGCTTAATCTAAACTTTATTTTTATTAAAATTGTTTTAAAATATCAAAAACTTAGCACGTTCTCCATAAATAATAAATACGTTTAAATAATCTTCGTTTGTATAATTTAAGCGTCCGGAAATAATTATTAATTATTTTCAAAGGTTAATTGACAGCTGAAAGCATTCCTTTGGCATTTGATTGTATTAAAAATGGACACTTTCGTCATGACAACTAAGAGTGACTTGAGAGATTTAAAATAAGTTGCGACAAAATAGCCATATGAATACATTAAATTGACAATATTTCGAAAACTAAACAGTTTTGGAATAGACAGCTTTCCCAAACTTCGCCTTATTATTAATACTGAATAATATAAAATCATCAAAAATGTGGTATTTGAAAAAAATGATTTTGGGCGGTTTTCTCAACGTTTTTTTGAAACTTATTTTTTTAACACTTAGTATTAATAATTATCACATTTTTTGCAAATTCCATTAAAGTAAGTTCTTTTCAACAAGAAATGCGACTCAAATTAAGTAGACCATATTCCCTTATAGGAAAAATTAATAATTATTCGAGTGGCTGCAACTGTAATTTTTTACATAAAATTTCAAATATATCAAAAACGGTTAGACTTAGGTATAGGATGTTATACATGCAATATATTTACAATTTGGAGCAGAATTCACAACTGTAATTCTTTTAAATGGAACACCCTATATATTAATATAGGGTGTTCCATTTAAAAGAAGCAAGTTGATACATACTTCCGGTATAAACGGATGTGTGTCAATCTTGAAAATAATTTGGATCGCTTGCCCCCAAAATCTTTAGCACCCTCTCCAATTTTTAAATTTATCCTAATTACAGTTTGCGAGACATCGATTGCGCCGGTTCCCGGCGAGCCACCCTGTATGTTTTTACATATTCGGGTGAAACGCATAATCTTTTTTGAAAAAGTTTGTAAGATCAAATCGTAATTGCGATTTGTTAGACAAATGATAAACCTTAATGGAAACTCACATTTTATGCAAACTCCTGAAGTTGTTTGCTAATTATTAAGGGAACACTGAGAATTTCTTCCACAGAAAAGAGAATTTATAAAATTCTCATCATATGTAGGTGGAAGTTTGGAAAATTGGCTACTTGTATCTAAATTGTATGCGTAACGATTTGGAAAGAAAGATTTCAAGATCGAAAGAGTCTGCAGAACTTTTACGATCAGTGGCATATATAAAAGTGTGCAGAAACAATGCAGTAGATGAAAATGAAGAAAACCACTGAATCGAGAAAATATAGAAGATTTAAGTTTCATCCTTATACAATTCAGGTACCAAGGATTAAACGTGGGACCAAACAACGGAAATGAAAGTAACGAGAACAGTAGCAGAGTAACGCTGGAGGATAGAATGCGGAAGCACATTATTAGAGCGGAACTTGAGGTGCAGGACATAGTTGAGGTGGGTGAGAGCACGATGCTGGGAGTAACATGTCGCTAGAATGTACTCGGCCCGGATAGCAAGATGGGCACGAACACAAAACCCATTACATCCCGACCATCTGGAAGACCGCCAAAAAATGGCGAAAGAGCTGGACGTCCAGATCACAAGAGGCATAAGATGCAGTATACACAGGGGATAACCCTATTACAAGAGGAAAAAGGAGAAAAAGACTTCCTTTTCAATTTTCATTTTATCGATCATTTATAATATTTGAAAAGCATTTATTTGCATAACGAAAAATATATTGCTATTTATTGAAGCCATTTTAATCTGTCTGTATGTGAGAGTGGTGATTTTGTTATTGAGCTCGTTCCAAATGTTACAATCCAAGCAATTTCCTTTAGATTATCAACTGAACCGTCATTACTAGCTGTTATTTGCCTGGTACTTTCCTTTACTACTTTTGTTCCCACTCTCTGCGAAAAAATCTTGCTTCAAACTCATCTATTAGAAAATATGTATGTAATTTAGATACAAAAAATGTTTTGAAAATCATTAGCTGCTCTGATCCATAATGCTCTATTCCCAAGCATTTCGATTCATCATGTAAGTTTTCTTTGACTGTATTTCCAATTTTAATAATAAAATATAAATAAATATATATTTTCCTGTGTTTCACTCATCTATTTCGACATCACAAATTATTAATTCCTTAAATAAGGTTTCGGTGTTTTTCCACCATAGTCTAAAACAACAAATTGTTGAAACATTTTGTCCAGTAATGCATGAATTATTATAACATTTTAAAATTTCAGGTTTTTAAAAAACGGTCATATTGGTTTTTGGCTTAGCCTGTCATACAATGACCAAAACACTCTAAAATTATAATACACTGAAACACTAAAATTATTAAGACATAAGGAAGGAATCAGGAATAAAAAGTTTGGAGAAAACGTAGTGATGTAAGAATTAATATATTAATTAGTATCAATAATATTATACATATATTTGTTTATTTATACAGGCAGATTCAAAACTTTCCAGACAACTAAATTTGTCAATAATACTTTGATTTGTAGTAAAACAGATAACAGCTCTGTTTAGCACAAATCGTTGTTTCTAAATTTACATTTAATCAATGAAGATCCAAAAGCACCTATATTTTGAATTAGAACGAGACTGACTGCGCGCACTCTTGTAATACGTTTTAGTTCATTTCAAAGGTTTCTTATGGTCTACTCAAGAAAGTTGACCTGCTTTTCTCTTTTAAACACATGTTCTCACTCGAAATGCATTTTCCAGATTAATTATATCAAGACGAAATTTTTATGTATTTTATTGGTGTAGCTTAATGAGAATATACAAACAAAAAATTGAACAAGTGTAGATAGTCTTCTCAAATGCCACACAACGTTCAGCAGATCAGTTGCGAACAATTAAGTCTCAGGTGCTCCAAACAGAGTTGAGTTGTTTGTTACAACGAATATTTACTAACATGCAGATGATGAAAAATAAACTGAAATAAACTGCTCAACAAAATGAACATTATAGAGTCAAATTTGTTCTAGATTTGGTTGTGGATAAATTATGATTGGTTATAGCGATTTTTAATCGGTTGCAAGAGTTTTCTAGCCCCATTTGGTTTTTGTTAGTCCGTTTTAATAAGAATTAGATTAAATTTCTAGAGGGCCGCAATTAAAAAAAATAAAAAGTTTGGCATATTTCTAATTGGTCAAAAGAGTGCTTTTTTTAACTCCGAATTGCTTCCTAAATCTGCAAGTCTCTCATACTTTCAGTGACGTTTACTTTGAAATATGTGGTTCATACATGCAACCCGGTTTTTTAATTTTTTTTTGAAGTAGACTGGGAAGTTTTAGCTTCAATATTTTGAAAAGATTTAGAAAATGAGTTCGAGAGGAAAAAATATAATTTCAAGACCAATAAGTTGATTTTTTGACGACCACTCTGTTAATAAACTAGGTGTGCTTAACTAGGTGTAATTAAAAACCGTTTTCCGATATACAGGGTTGCTCATTAGTGCGTCAAAGTGCGATATCTCAGTAAATATGAACTTTACAAGAAAATACGTCCTACGAAAATTTTTCATGTTTAAAAGGTCCACATTTTAAAATTACTTTCCAATATACGGGGTGTATCATAAACGTGTGGTAGTTACCAACTTTGGTTTTTTAAATGGAACCGCCCCTTTTCTCATTCATTTTCAGATTTGTCGTCAAAATTTAAGTTAAGTTTGTGTCAAACGTTTTACCTGAAAAATTTACGATTTCCGAGTTATTCGTAAAAATGTGAAAGTTTTGACAGCTACTGGGTTCCACAGAAATCGATGCTGTACACTACCCGCTGCGAATTTTGGAAAACAGTTTTCAGAAATTCTAACAGAACATCATGATCTACGCGTAGATATGTTTTAAATTATAAGGAAATACTTCTAAACCGCGCAATTAGCCTCTAAACTTGCATGTTT